GTGTAACGAAGGGGCCTTAATGATTAGAATAGGGTTTTGGGGGTTCCTGATTATACATATGGTAATATATACCCCCAACCCATTTCTAATTTAGGGGTTTTGGGATTGTGGGTTTCGGGGGTTTTCAGGATTTCCAGCCAAGCGCTGAACAGAGACGAGTCCAACCTGCGGCTTCCCTGACCTCTGCAGCCTGTGGACGATGCATAGTGAGTGGCGGTTTAAGGCCTAATACCCTAAACCCTGAACCCTAAACCCTAAAGCTTAGGGTTGAAGGTGGTCTGCTGACTAATGACACGCTGGGCTTGTGGTCGCTGACAAAACCTTGTGTCTTAGGCATGACATGTCGCCGCAACGGTTTCCCGCAAAAACCTTCGTCGCTGTATGTGCATCGATGAGGCAGGTTAGTACTTCTGCTTTCTGCTTCTAGACCGACCTTATGCAAAGACCTGCCTTCTTCTCCAAACACAGAGCGTTTACTGCTCTTGAAGCAAGCACACCCTGAAACCCATGCCCTCCATTGAACCGTCAACCTTTGCTTCCGCACCTTCACACTCGAAAAAAGCCTAACCCCTGCAAAACCCTCAAATCCCACCTTGCTGGAATTCTTGTTCCAGCGCCCAAAGGACGACCTGTAGACCTCAGCAGCTTGCTTCTTACCTAAACCCTAAACCCTAAACCCTAAACCCTAAACCCTAAACCCTATAAACTCTAAACCCTAAACCATTCTTCTGCGGGGCTCGGCACCCAGGGTTTAGAGGACCCTAGGCCCCTTTAACCTCTCGAGGGACTTCACGAAATTACGCGATGGTTTGTCTCACTTCCCCAATAGCCAGGGAAATAAAAGGTTAAACTTTCAGGTTACTACTAAACTATAAGAACCCAAAAAGCTTAAAGGTTGGGTATTGGGGAACTAAGTTGTAGAAGATGCCAGACGGTCGTAACCGCTTTGGAAAGGGAAGCAGTTCAGAAGCGTTGCATGTGGCGTGCAGGCTCTGCGAGGCTTTGCAACTTAGCAGGCGTTGTGAGATAGTGTAGGGGCCTTAATAATTAGAATAGGGTTTTGGGCTTTTTTGCTAGAATTAGAACAAGGAGCCCCCAAACTAGCCTTGGTAGTTGTTGAGGGCCCCTATATAATGTTGCTATGCTTGACGACTGCACCGGGCATCTCAGAACTGCTCCGGTTGTTGCTGTTCCGTTCCCCAAGCTCCCGAAACCCTAAACCTTGGACACCAAACTGCAGCCGAAACATTTAGCGAATCTAAGGACAAGTGGCTCGTGGGCCCACACACGAAAGGGGGGCTGACTCATTTCTGCAGCTCCGATGAACCATTAATTAAGTATATTGGGCGGGTCATGTACCCTTACGTGTCTGTGTGGATACATATATATATATATATATGTATGTATATACGTGTGTGTAACACACACACACACACACACACACGTTTTGTGTTTCGCTGGCAGGCCTTTTTGCCGGCCAGCTTGTTTGAGGTTTGCCCGACTCGGACTCGAGGCATATAGGGTTTAGGGTGTGGTTAGGGCTTAGCATGTAGCCAGGATAAGAACCCCATTGCATCGAATGCATAATGCTCGAAGTCTAGCCAAGTATCTACCAGCTCCTTGAACCTTCAATCCAACCTTCAGCTGCACAAGGATTTGAAGATAATTGAAGCATAGCTCTATGTACTTGCGAATTCACAAGGCACACTACCCAATTTTTGACATACAGCTTTACCTGCTTGTTCTACCTAAAGGGATTCTTAAGTAGCTATATAGAACCAAAACGAGAGAGCAGCAGTCCAAAGAAAACGTGCACAGAACGGCAAAACGCAGCGCCCAAAGGTTTCGAGAATTTGTGTCGCCTGCCCCAACTTCTTTGAGCATCTGCCTCACTCCACAGTGATAGTTGGATGGACCCCTCTGAACCCATAGCTTAGATCTAAACCCCAAACCCTAAACCCAAAGTGATAGGCTGGGTGGACCCCTCTGAACCCATAGCTTAGATCCGAAGCCAGAAGATGCCCAGCCGCGTCCAAAAGATTTGCAATGTCTGCAAGCTTGACGGTCCAATCGGCGGAGTCCTCCGCGTGAGGCTTTTGGGGTTTAGAGTTTTATTTACAGGGCTTGAAGGCGCTAGGCTAGAATAGTAGGGTTTTGTGGTAGATAGGAGTGGTATGGCGCAAAACCGCCAATGAATCAGACCTCCAGATTAATGTAGGGGCCTGAACAATTAGAAAAGGGTTTTGGGGTATAATATACTATAATCATAACAAGGAACCCCCAAAATAGCATTGGTAATATTATAGGCCCCTATAGTACAACCTCGAGACCTGCGCCCCTGAACTCGACTTGTCTCGACAGTTGAAGTCGAACTTCTCACACCGCAAACACTCCCAGCATTATAATGTAGGGGCCTAGATAATTCCCAAGATTATCTTGGGGGCTCCTTATTATAAGTATAATATGGTGGGCCCCAAAACCCTATTCTAAATACTAAGGCCCCTATATTAAACCCTTGGCCAAAGCCTCAAACTCCGAGCCCTTAGCTTCAGACCTTGAAGCAGGAGCCTTCATACCCCGCATCCGAGCTGGAGCGAAACTGTAAGCCCCTATGTAGCCTAGCCTTTTAGTATCCTTATAAAACCCTTGAGGGAACCCTTGCAGGACAAATCGCCATAGTCCCATAGTACTTCAAGCCTTATCGAAATTCGAGAGCTCCGGTGGTGAGCCCTTTGGGGCCTTCCAAACCCGAAGCCCTAAACCCTAGGCCCTAGACCCAATACTCCAGCTCAAGCCCTGGAAGATCGCAAGCTGGCCTGCGAGCTGAAGCCCAAGCTGTCCCAACATTGAGGTTTTGGGGCTTGGGAGTTAAAGGCTCAGGGTTTGGGGCTTCAGGTTTAGGGTTTAGGGGTTTGGGGTTTAGGGGTTTGGGGTTTTGGGGGGTTTGGGGCTTCAGGTTTCGGGGTTTGGGGTTTCGGGGTTTAGGGTTTAGGGTTTAGGGGTTTAGGGGTTTAGGGCTTCAGGTTTAGGGTTTAGGAGTTTGGGGCTTCAGGTTTAGGGTCGAGTACTGGTACTCATGCAGGCTCGCATTTAGATGGTACGTTTGGGTAGGGTTAGGGCTCTGAGTTGCGGCTCGAGATTTCGGTCTGGTGGCTTGGAAAGCAAGGCTTTCTAGCGATTAGGGGTTACTTGGGACCAAACAAAGGGCCTAAACAGCAATCATAAGATCGGATATCCGCAAACCCCATCCTTAAGTACCAGTAGCTAAGCCTAGACGTACAGAGTACAGGGATACCCCCGCCGAAAAGTCTATGTTTGGGCACTTTTCTGGGTCTTGATGTAGGGTTGAGGACTCCGGTCCATGAACTCCAGCATTCGCTCGGATTGGTGCAGGTATTCCTTGAGAAGGTTCGCAAAGAAGTGAACTGCCTGAGCTCTTTGAAAGGATGCCGAAGCTGTGTCGGGGAGCTTCGGGGTCGGAGAAGGCGAGAAGAGGGCGCGGTTTAGGGGTTTAGGGTTTAGGGTTATGTATATATATATATATATATATACGTATAGGTGTATATATATATATATAATTATATATATATATATACACAGGGTTTGGATCGAGCCTCCCGTAGCGAGGAATTGCCACAACCCCACGTGCGAAATCGCACGATAGCCGAAAGCCATTGGAAAGGCACCTCCCTCCCCGGGCTGGCACCGCAACCAGCGGAAAAAGAGGGCACGCGCTAGAAAGCGCATCGGCAAGGCACGAGCGTCCGGCACTCGGCCAGCAGCGGCCGACCTCCTCTTCCTTGGGAGCCATCACTCCCGACCGCGATACAGGGAGCTGAGAGAAGTCCCATCCTCCATGGGCAAGCGCAACCAACAATGGTCAGCGGAAGACTGGTATGGCTGGCAGCAGCAGCGCTCCTCTCACAGTGGGGGCTCCAAGGAGAGGCAGCGAACGCAGCAAGCACAGCGCCGACAACAAGACCGTGGACCTGCCTTTCCCACCTACGAGATGATGAATGCCAGCGCAGCGGCGGAAGACCCCCCAGTGCCGAGTGCGACGGGCAAGCAGGACACTGCGCGGATCTACCAGAAGGTGGTGAACAACCTGCGCAGAGCAGAGACGAGACTGCGCAAGGCAGAGGAGGAAAAGAAGGACACAGCCACCAAGTGGGAATGCTTCCAGAAGGAGTTGCGCAACTCGTTCATGAAGGAACGCAACAAGTATGTGGAGAACACTGCCAGGCTGGAAGCAGAAATGGTGGAGCTCGAGGATGCGAAGACCGCGGCCCTGGAAGAGCTGACGGAGATCCTGGCGAACCCCAACAAGGCCCGGGACAAGCCGGCGACGGAGACCCAGGACGAGCGCGAGGCCCAGAAGGAGTGGGATGCGCTCATGGCTGGCACGGAGGAGCCAGACGACGGAGGATTGGCTGCACTTTTTGCAGGGGCCCTATCCAAGGCAGGGAACCGCGACAAGCTCCTGGAGATCCTCGAAAATATGAAAAAGGCCAAGACAGATGTGGGCACACCACGAAGGCGACCCACAGCTATGCCGAGAACTCCAACGGCATTGGAGGCGGCCAAAGGCCCGATGGAGATCGACCCTCTGGAGGCCACTGCGCCGGCGGAGGCCGCAAGAGGCCCGTACATGGCATCGCCCTCGACCCGCAACTTGCTCCCATCCCCCGGAAGTGCGCGTCGAAAGTCGCAATCGCGAACCGGCACTATCCGCATGCCGCTCAAAGCCTTGGGACGGAAGCCGGCGCCATCGCCGAAGCAAGGATCCGCTCTCTCCAAGAGGCTGGAACGGCGCCGCGAAGAAGAGCTCGAGGCCCTGCGGGAGACCGGCGAGGAGATAGAAGACGACGACAGCGAGGCCGACCTCGTTGCAAACTTAGGCTGCGACAAGGACAAGAAGGATGGCGCGACCACGATCCCGGAGTGGTGAGTGGACATGATGGGGGAGTAGATATGACTCGCCAGCGGGAGCTTTTTCGGTATGTCTCCCCACAGCAATGCTGGCAATATAAAAAGGGGCTGGCCTGGACGCAACATACCCGGGTCCAGCCCGAAATCTCGAGGCTTTTTCGGTATGTCCTCAACATCTTCGGCCAACATGCTTGGGAGCATGGCCGCAATCCTTTTGAACAACAACGTCGCCCTCTGCTTTGTCAAGGCGACGACCCTGTTCCCCCACGGCTACACGACCAAAAACGCTGCGGCTTTGACGGACCGCGCTTGCGAGGCGGTATGCAGATCCTTTTCAAGATCTCCCTGGGCAAGACGACCACCCTTGGTGGTAAGGCCAGCGACACGCTCGACAATGCCAAGGCTCAGACCCAGGACAAGGAAGGCATCCCGCCCG